ACATGGAGGGGAATGCATGCAGATGTGGTTCCCCAGTGCAGATGAAGACCCCGTGGACGAACTTGAACCCAGGAAGAAGATTTCTCACTTGTCCTCAAAGCCAAGATGTGGGTGGATGCACCTTCTTTATGTGGTGTGACCCTTCGATGTGTGAGAGATCGAAGGAACTGATTCCTGGTCTATTACGAGCTAGGAGGGAAATGTAAGTTGAAATCGACACCCTTCAAACAACAAAACCAAATGTGTGGAAGATCTGACTCTTCGGCTTTATGTGTGGAGTGTTTGCAAAATGAGATTGTTCCTATGTATGTAGGGTCAGATTGTAGGATTTTAATTTTTTGTTCTAGAAATTTGAGCTTAGGGTTTCGAAATGGAGCCATGTGCTAGATGTTGTGAAATGCATATGTAAAAAGGGAAAAATTGTGTTGTACCTTTTGACTTGAAATTTAACGATATTTTCCTGGCCTCTATATAAAATGCGAAATTAAAAGAGCAGATTACACTTCAAACTTATCTGAAGAAGGTGCAGCATAGGTACCAAACCTTATAACTATTCGCAGAATCAGTACTAAACATTTTCTAATGGTTTCAGACAGAGTATCAAACCTTTAAAAACATTGTAGTAAAGATACCAAATGTTTGATAATACTTTCATAGGAAGTATCAAACATTCTCATATATTTTATAATCGCCTGCACATCAGATATTACGAATACAATTTCAGAAACCAACGACAAACAACAGAAACATAATGCAAGATATTCGACCTCAACATTATCATCACATTGAACAATTTCATCAAAAATTTCAGTTACATCTACAAAATACACAACATTGGAAGCACATATTTCCAGTTCGATTTACAAAAAATCACAGCATTTTCCCAAAAAGGTAACTATACAAGAGAAACCACATGATGTTCATGATTGCGATCCTCTATGCTTGAACTTCTTTGTCTGTGACTTGGAGGTTTGCGTTGAATGTGCTTTTCTCTTCCCGTTCGCTGATCTGGTATGTGTATCTTCTTGTGTGGTTGGTTGAGATTGTCGCTGTAAACTATCTGCACTTCTGCTTCGGCATTATGTTCAGCAGCCTGCGCCTCTCGTTCAGCAGCATGCAACTCCTGCTGAGCTTGCTGCTGTGTTCAGCGTCATGCAACTTATGTTCAAACCTCAACTGTGGTTTCTTTGGTTCAGCAGTATGCACTTCTGATTCATGTGAGTCTATTTCAGCCCCTATAAAATCAACCTCTGTATACTCATGCTCTGTTCCATGCACTGTATAAACTTCTTCTTCATCTGCTTCCATGTCATCCACTTCATCAACTACATACACGTCATCACCTTCTACTGATTCGTCATAAATCTCAATAGCATAGCATGGTTGTTGCTCATTCAATGCTTCACCAGACTTTTGAACATTCACCAACTCCTCACCGGTCTCACAATCAAACACTTGAACATCCTTCTGTTCTGTTTCATCCCAAGGCAACTCCAAAACCTCAGCTACAGGCAAGCAATACAATTCAGCTGTCCTATTATCATTAAGCCACTTCACTAAATTCATGAAATCTAAGTCTTTAACCAACCAAAATGAACCTTCACTCATTCTTTTCTTCTCCATCTTGTACAGATATTTAATTCTATCAGAATATCCCAACATCTTCACGGCATTGTCCAAAAGAAATCTATTGAAGAAATCAGGGTCAATATAATCTATATAACTTATTTTCCCATACTCATACACAAAATTTCTCATCTTCTGAAATAAAATTCCACCATGATGAAACCGTATGCTGAAGTACTTTGAATTTTCCCCTAAAAAAACACCGAAAAAAGGAAGTTAAGCCCTAGCCCTTTTCAGTTCAAGCAACGAATATGTGCAGAAAAGATAGTACACAAGCATTACGTTCTAATACATCAAATCACTTAATTTTTTTGAATTTTCCAGTACGTGAATACAATCGAACAGGGGAACTTCATAATCATACAACTTCACACCGTAAACTGAAAACAGGGGAAGACACTTACCATACACGGGTTGAGAAAGAGAGTCTCGAATGTGGGCTGCAATGTCCACTGGATGTTCGTCTTCTTCTAAGTCTGTTTCGTCTTCTTCGTGGATTTTCGCAAGTTCCATAGTGAATGGTGAGTGGAAGGAAGTTGCAACTGACGTGTTTGATGTTGAGGAGGGAAATGTGTGTAATGACCATGTTGCCCTTCACTTATTTGGGAAGAATTCTTGAAATTATCATTAAAGGGATCAACTGACGGTTTTGGCGGTCAAATAGACGGAAACTTTCATTTTGGACCGGCCCCACACATTTTTTAAAGGTTTGGTATCTCCGGTGGCACAAATTTAAAATTTGGGCAAAATCTGCTAATAAACGAAAGATTTGGTACCTCGACTGCAATTTTCCCTTTAATTAAATATAAGATACACAATTTTGTTCATTGTTTTGTCAAGTTCCTACATCTAATTACATTTGAATTTGTGTCGTATTGTGAAAATATGAAGAGAATTTGAATTTTGACGTTCGGCTACACAAAATGATCAGTTGTATCTACAAAATAAACGTGTCCTTATTATTTAAGTAAAACCTAACTATTATTATTTAAATAATTGGTCGTTATATCACACTTAATTCATACCTCTTTAAATAAATTTGAAGTAATCTATAGTTAGATACTTCAAAATAATTAGGTTGGTAATATTCACACCACATATTTTTATAAATAGACCAAATTTTAATTAAATTAAATTAAATGTCATTAATCTTTATTCATTATTACAATTATATTCTTAACTTTTTTCTTCATCATATTTTTATTTTTAACATTTCATTGATTGAAAAAAATCTTATCCTTAATCATGATTTTCATCAAAAAATATTGTTAACGTGCATTAAAATGACGGCCAAATATTTAATTGCATTTTTCATCATTATTTGTTTTGTTGATTTAAAAATGCAATGACAAATGGGAATTTTTACTCAATCTTAAAGAAAATTCTAGAGAGAAACCATAATTAAGAACAATTTATGTTAATTTGAGAATAAGAATACGATGAATAAAGTTTCAGAAATAAATGTAATAATGTATAAAAATTATGAACCTTTCATGCAATTAAAATGTCATCTATAATTATTAAAATTATGGTATGAATATATTTATCTATGAAAAATTGTAATGAATTAGTATACTTCCATAATTACGAGAAAACACTTCTCAAGCTAAAATCAAGATCAAGAAAGATTTTATTTGGAAAAATAAAATTTAAATACATTAGTCTCTCTTTATTGAAGTTGCATCATCCAAGCCGATACAAACTTTGAATTCAAATTTCTTGTTGCTTATTGATTAAAATAAATTCATGTTTTGAACGTAATAAGATAATGACTAATAGATGTGTCGTGAGGGTTTTGAATTTTCAACTTAAAACTTCAATTTTTCTTAAACTTGTTAGAATTTGCATTTTATTGACAATTCTATAAAAGGACTAGCTTGAAAAGTTGTAAAAGTCAATAAGTCAGTTCGAATACTGTTTAGATAAAATAGGTCTCTTGGGGTTCTAGTTTGGAACAAGTAGGAAAAAGCTGCCTAGTTTACACTAGCTTATCGCTCATCTGATGTTTGAGCGGAAAAAACAGTAACCTTGTACCCTGACGCTCAAGTGACGGTGTTATGTGCAAAATCACAGTTCACATTTTTCAAGAGTTTCAACCGGTTCATGCTACCTAAATGCCTTTTACTATATGTAACAAATCCCTGACACGAATTTTTGGGTGGTTGTTCATTACATTGTCTCTTCATAACATTTTCCAATATTTAAGAACACATTCAAGTTTTTGATTTGTCAATTGATTCTTGAGTTCATACAACCACATATTTAGGAAAAAAACATCAAGTTCACATAATCCAAAACACCTCCTTCTTATAAACATACAAGAAGATATTTTCTCAATAACTTTTAGAGATTGTTAAAGATTGAGGGAGGTTGAACCAGAATACACAGGAAGAGTATAAAAACAAGGTGTTTTTGATGATCCACAGGAGATAGACAAATCTAAAAGATCAGAAACATGTGTAAGTGAAATACATTCCAATGGGCCTTGGGATCGATGGAAGTAGATCGACGAGTTTAGTGAATATTTTTAAACTGGATAATATTGTAGGTTCATCATTGTCTATAGTGGAGATACTGACTTTGTCCTGAAATTTTTACCTAGTTGGGTTTCTCTATCATTAATTCTTGTGTTATTTACTGCTTTATTATATTTGTAGCAATTCAACTTAGGATAATTTCACTTGTTTGGTTAACTATCTAGAAACAATTAAAAAGTGACTTGTTGCTTTTAATTATATATTTTTGTATGTTGGGTCAAAATAAATTGTCTGAATAGAATCTTCAAGTTGAACTAATAACCTTCAACTCATATCAAAGCTTTTCAAAACTAAACACGCACTAATAGTGTCTCATTTGAGATTACCAATTTTTAAAGTCTACTGCTCGTTCAATTTTGAGATAGAACTCCGTTTTCATTTTATAACTTAACATCATTAATAAGCACAATCCAAATTTTTATATATTTATTATTATTTTTATATTTAAGTAATGCGTGAAAAATATAAATATCAATTAATAAAGTTGATAAGTAAACGCATTGAATTAATCTTTATGAACAGAATCTGAATTCCAGATTGTCAAATCAAAATGCTAATCCATAATCAATAGCATAAATTTATAGCTTAATCATCTTATTGTCTGCTTGATTTCATAGCTTACATCGAACATTCATCTATTTTTCTTTGATAAGCCAAATGGAAAAATATGGAAGAAAAACAAACATCAGAAGGAAACTTAAAAGTAACTTGCTCTCATAAACGACAAATCTCATTCTTCTAAAATATTGTAAAAATAATATCTTAAGCTGTCACTAGCAAATTATTCGAGTCAATATGCTCAGATTCCAAGTTGTTACCTTTCTTTATCAGGTTTTTTAAAGCACTGTTTTTTGGGTTTTCTTTTGCTCTTTCGCCAGAGGTTGTTCAACTTCTTTGTCATTGTGTTGTTCAACTTCTATGTCATTGTGTAACATATGGATGCTGTCCAAATAAATTATAATATTTCTGGTATTATATAACTGGAATCTGTCATTTTGTTTGTGTGTGTGTCAGTATGTGTTTTTTTCTTGAAAGCTCTTTACTGGGAGGGTAATTTGGAAAATGGGTCATAGTTGAAATTCTTGAATTTGCACTGGAAATGTTTTTTTGGGGGTTTTAAGAGCTCTCACGATGGATCTTGAAACAGGGATTCATCAGAATCATTTTAAGGTGAGTTCTGCTTGAAATCATTGATGGATTTGAGCATTTTTTGGGGGGTTTTTTCTCTGATAAATTTTGTTTTTGAGGGGATTGCAGAAAGAATCTTGGAGAACAGTTTTGACGTTAGCTTATCAGAGTTTGGGTGTTGTGTATGGGGATTTGAGTACATCACCATTATATGTATACACGAGTACTTTTGCTGATGACATTGAACATTCTGAGACTAATGAAGAAATCTATGGGATCTTATCCTTTGTGTTTTGGACATTAACCATAGTTCCTCTTCTAAAGTATGTGTTCATTGTGCTAAAGGCTGATGATAATGGTGAAGGAGGCACATTTGCACTTTATTCACTTCTATGTAGACATGCCAGAGTGAATCCTTTGCCCAGTAGCCAGGTTGTAGATGAAGATTTGTCAATGTACAAGAATGATATTATTAATCCTGCACCATCTACTTTGAGTGCAAGGCTAAAATCTGCTCTGGAAAAACATAGAGTTCTGCAAAAGTTTTTGCTATTATTGGCTCTAATTGGTGCTTGTATGGTCATTGGTGATGGTGTACTTAGTCCTGCAATTTCGGGTATTCCGTTTGTTTCTGTGGTTTTACCTAATTTTTGATATTTTGGAGTCTGTTAATTTATGTTTAATGTACCCCGTGTTTTATGCAGTTTTCTCTGCAGTTTCTGGAATCGAACTAGCAATGTCGAAAGGGCATCACCAATGTAAGATTCTTAATCTCGTAACGTTTCATTTCCAGGTGTATTATTCTTCTAGTCGCCTTTGCCAGTTCCATCACAGACAAGTTTGCAGATAATAAAAGTAATTGCAAGACTTTGAACTAAATGAGTAATGACTTGTTTCACTATAGATTGAAGGATATAACTATAAAATCAGTTTAAAAAATCTAAGATTGTGTGCTCGGTCTTTACTTTTTGTCGAATATCACCGTCATTATGCCTGTAGGTATTTGGTACTCATGATGCTTCCAAGAGAAACTGGAAGAAAATGACTTTCTCCCAAAAGATTCAATTAATTTTGCAGAAAAAATTATTAGCACACTGTTGCATTGGTAATAATTTCATTTTGTTATCTTGCATTATGCATTTGTATCTTATATCATCCAGTGCAATACTCCAGTTGTGACATAGCTCATACTGCATAGGAATTAGGGGGATGTATAAGTAAAATAAAAGATTAAAAGTTTTGGTGTATTTAACATAATGATCATGTATGTGGCTCGATGCCTAAGACTATTCAGTTTATTATTTTTGGGGAAAATACCTAATATAGTCTTGCTTCTAGTTACTGGTGCTAGTTCATACGAACTTTATGTTGTTGCAATTTTTTGCTGAACTATCATATGCTTCAGAAGGCTCGCCATCATAAGGTCTTAAAGTTTGCCATCTAAGGCTCAGAAGGAAAGAAGTCTAAGGTTTTATTGTTCTGTTCTGCATCAAGTGGGTAAAGCTTTCTTAATTTGGATCGGAGTGTGAGTATTGCCTTCATGGATGGAAAGAAAGAGAGATTTTAAAGCAATGGTGTGCAAAATTGTCGCCTTTAGGCGATTGTGAAACAATTACATCATGCACTTATTAGAAAAGAGGAAACCAGGAGAAGTTTGAACAAATGCGTATCTCTGATTTTTTTTTTTTTTTTATTTGTGCCATTTTGAAGATAATTTTATGGCCATGCGTGAGGATATACGCAGAACGGGACAATGACTAAAGCCACATGAGGAGAATAACACCTGGCTATCTATGTAATATGCTCTAATATGATTCGAAAACATACAGTAATTATAAGTATTATGGATATGATTGTCCGAAATATATGAACAGTTAATTTCTCTTGTGCAAAATACATTATGGTACTTTGAGAATAAGTTTCAAGTTTAATTATAGTGTATATGATGAAGCTTCTTTTTGTATGTTGATCGGCATCTATACTATGTTTTATTATTATAACCTCATAATACATATTTTAGCAGAATTCATTTGGTATGGATCTCACAGATAAAATTTTTGGATTAGGTGATCTATAATTTCTCGTCATGGAATTTTATTTGTGCTTATAGTACATAACAGAATACTAATCTTGTAAAATTGCTTCTTAAAATGAAAATCTTGCAGATATAGAAGTCCCATTTGCTTGTATCATATTGATAGCCTTGTTTGCCCTTCAACACTATGGCACCCACAGGGTCGGTTTCTTGTTTGCACCTGTGGTCATAACATGGCTTTTGTGCATAAGTTCTATTGGCATATATAATATTTTCCATTGGAACCCTCGCGTGTATCGAGCTCTATCTCCATACTACATGTACAAATTTCTGAAAAAAACACAGAGGGGAGGTTGGATGTCTTTGGGTGGGATTCTGTTGTGCATAACAGGCAAGTTAATGTATTCAATATTTGGACGTTAGAATTACTTGTACAAACCTTCTTCTTTTCTTTTTTTTTTCCTTTACCCTCAAGAGTAGTTAATATATGTTTCTATTCTTTCAGGTTCAGAAGCAATGTTTGCCGATCTAGGACACTTTTCCCAATTGTCAATTAAGGTACAATACTTTCATATATAATAACTGTTCTAGGACACTTTTCCCAACTGCCATTAATCATAAAGAGAAGGTCGTATAGTAGATTACTCCCCATGTTATGAACCATATATCATCATGTTAAATTTCCTTCCTCCCGAAGTCATAGTTGATTGACAATTGATTGAACTAGTCCATCAGAAAGTAATTTTTTTTTTGGTTTAATATAGCTAGTTTCTCTCTTACAAAAGATATAGATGAGAATTGACCACTTTTAATGCCTTTATGCTTTAATGTTAACATCCGTTTCGGTGTACCTGAAGTTCTTTCAAGAGGGGCCATGTGATTTTATTGTCACGAAAGACATCATAATTTCTAATTAGATATAACAAACTGAGTGCTTCTTCGAGAGGTGTTTAATTTATTATTACTGTGGTCAAACTTACTTTAAATCTACAGATTTCGTAGGATTTACAATTACCACTCACTTATTATTCACACATTCTGTGGGACCCGCTACTTTAAATTATAATTTTAACACCCCTAGACAAGCATTAAGCCTTGTTCATAATAAATTTGGGTTAGCTACATGAATAATTTTCCCACACTTTTCTTTGTTGATTGCTTGAAGATTAGTCTCATTTCTTATGTTGCAGCTATGTGGAAGCCGCGCCTGATATGGGACGAAAACAAATGAATATAGAAGTAAAAAATGTAGCTTTCCATGTTTAAATCAAATAAAATAGGATGCTCCTATCATCTTCAGAATTTGGAAATTGGAGTCGTAGGGGTTTAGTTCAAGAATCTTGGTAACATCCAAAGATTTTTGTGGGCCATTTTAGGACCTGTTTACATTTTATACTGCTTTTATAGGAATTCCGAAGTTCTTCGACAAATTTCATGATATTTTACAATTCAAGTTGGCACCTGAATTGTGCACCTTGTGTATGCAAAATCGATATTTTTTCCATTTATAAATCAGCTGGTCTTCCTCCAGCAGTTTATAAGCTTATGGAAATTATTCCCTCATGCAATCTTAAATCAAGTTTTGCTAAAGTCAAGCTGTTAATCCCATCTGGTACTAAGAGACCCTCGACTCATAATTTTTCCACATCCATCACGGGATCAATCGATATGACAACTGTTCATTTCTTGATATCTAATGAAGCAGCACATTCATTTTATATACTTATTCTTTTGCAGATAGCCTTCACTTCTATTGTCTATCCGTCATTGATCCTTGCATATATGGGGCAGGCTGCTTACCTTTCCCAGAACCACGTTGTCGATAATAATTATCGTATTGGATTTTATGTTTCAGTACCTGGTATGTGTTTTCAATTGTTGTTTTTTAGATAGGAAGAATGCGAATTATTGGCAAATTAACACTCAACGGAAGAAATATTTGCTTGTGTCAGAGAGATTAAGATGGCCAGTTCTGATTCTTGCCATACTGGCTGCAGTAGTTGGAAGCCAAGCTATCATTACTGGAACTTTTTCTATTATAAAACAATGCTCTGCTCTGGGGTGCTTTCCTAGAGTCAAAATAGTACACATATCCTCAAAAACCCACGGCCAAATTTACATACCCGAGATCAACTGGATTTTGATGCTTTTATGTTTGGCCGTCACTATTGGTTTCAGAGACACCAAAAGCATGGGAAATGCCGCAGGTAATCCCCTCCCTCCCAACCAAAAAAAGGGAAGGAAGGAAGAAAAAATATCAATAATATAAAATAAAGGATTAAACTATTTGTACACAAAGATTTACACAATCTTTTACACACACAACACATGACGGCCCCCTATTGGAGGGGTGGCTGGTGGGCCATCCGCCCCTCCAATAGGGAGCCGCCATGTGTTGTGTGTGTAAAAGATTGTGTAAATCATTAGGTGAATGTAGCATGATCCTAAAATAAATCATGCATATACAGAAAATACTCAATATTAGTATTGCATTGGGCCATTGGTATGTTTGGGCTAAGCTTAAAAGTGTAAAGGTACTTAATTGAAAAGTAAGCAAAAACTTTCTTTTAAAGAAGCAAGCTTTTGAACTAAGAGTGTGTTTGATCGGTATGAAAAATATCATTTAGAGAAGAAAATGTTTTCCTTCTTTTGTGGAAAATAAAAATTACCTTCAACTAAGGAAAATGTTTTCTTTAAAAACAAGGAAGATTAGGCAAATTTTTAAAAGTTGGAAAATGTTTTCCATGGAAAAAATTAGCAATAAAACACCTCAAGTAGAAATTTGGATGAAAAACTGATATTTTTAATGGAAAATAAATATAATCAAACACACCCAAATGTGAATCAGAAAAAATAGCTCCTAAAAAGCTCCAGAATTCTAATTAATGCCTGTCCATGATATTTGAAGAATCTAATGTAGTTCTCAAGTAATCCCAATCGTCGAATTATGATGACATTTACTAACGCAAAGTTTGTTCTTCTTAATAATAATAATAATTATTATTATTATTATTTTTCAGGTTTGGTAGTTATTACCGTTATGTTGGTCACGACTTGCTTAATGTCCCTAGTTATTGTTTTATGCTGGCACCAGAGTGTCATCCTTGCAATTTGCTTCATCTTATTCTTTGGGACGCTTGAAGTGCTATATTTGTCTGCTGCTTTAATCAAGTTTTTGGAAGGAGCGTGGGTACCAATTGCCCTTTCATTCTTCTTCATGTCAGTGATGTGTGTTTGGCACTATGGTACATTGAGACAGTATGAGTTCGATCTCCAAAATACGGTTTCTGTTGACCGACTACTTAGCCTCGGTCCCGGTTTGGGCATTGTACGGGTCGGTGGCATTGGCCTCATTCACACAGACCTTGTATCTGGTATACCGTCAATTTTTTCCCACTTTGTCACCAATATTCCGGCCTTCCACCAGGTTCTTGTCTTTCTCTGTGTTAAAACAGTTTCAATCGCTCATGTTAAACATGAAGAACGGTTCCTCGTGGGACATATTGGTCTGAGGGAGCATCATATATATAGATGCGTTGTTCGCTATGGTTATCGTGATGCTCGTGTGGATGATGTGAAATTTGAGAATGATCTCATATGCAGTATAGCCGAATATATACGCACAGGAAGAGAAGGTTTAGACAATGCTGGTGAGGATTCTGTAAAGCAACGCGAGGAAATGATGGTGGTGGGAACGCCTTCGACACATTTAGACGGAATCCAAGTCTGCGAGGACAATGATGTGGCAAATACAGAATTGGCTAGCACTTCGGAGCTTAGAGAAATACAATCTCCACCTGTGATCAAACCGCGGAAAAGGGTTCGGTTTGTCATTCCCAAGAGCCCAGAGATCGACCGAAATGTTCAGGACGAGTTGCGAGCACTGATGGAAGCTAGGGTAGCTGGTGTGGCTTACATAATGGGACACTCATATGTGAGGGCAAAGCAGGGATCAAGTCTAATGAAGAAGATGGTTATAAATTTTGGATATGATTTTTTGAGAAGAAACTGTAGAACAAACACATATGTACTAAATGTGCCTCCAGCATCTACTTTAGAGGTGGGAATGGTGTGTCATATATGATGTTTATGATATGTGAAAATTATGTATTTTGTACATGTGTTGGTAATTTTACATAATAGAGTTTGATTGATTGATTTATTTTTTATTTTTGGCGTGACACTATGGAATTTTAATAATAGATGATGGTGGACCCAAACCCAACAAATGTAAGCACGAGCAAGCTTCAAGCGTAGGTGATGTATGGATGTGGCATTTCATAAAATTTAATTTTTACTTGTTTTCCAACATTTGATATCATAGTGGTCTAATTAATTACTTTTCCCGTTATAATTAATATGAAATATTTGATTGCATGGTTTTGTAGTCGGACATAATTCTTGAATCTTCTATATAATTTTCAGTAAGACAAATTATTTATCGAAGATGGATAAATATATGAACTCTTAGTTGTATACGATTTTTGATCTTGAACAAAAGCAATTATAAATAATTTACACAAAATTATAAAATCTGATAACAAGAATTTCTAAACATAAAAAATTGGTTAAATTCAGTGGAGGTCACCAAACTTTGTTTTCTTTGTGCCAAGTTAGTCCTCCTTGTCTAATATATGTTAATGGACGATCACATCAATTTTTTGGGGATTATATCAATTTTTTTAATATATAAAAGTTGATATTAAAAAGTTAAACCTTTAGCAAAATTTAATCAAACAAGCAATTAAAAACTTGTGTTTCTCAAAACAAGCACAACTATTTTATGTGTTTGGTAATTTTTGCACTATTTGACAAAAATTTTTGAGAAACATCAAGATGATAACTTTTCAGATTTTGCATTTAGCTTCCTTAATTATCCATTTTTACAATAATCAATTTTAATCCATGTGAATAAAATTAATTTATTTCTAATCCTTAATTTATTGTCGTTCTATATTTATTGATATTCTATTCTAGAATAACATAATCTCATCCATTCATTCACATTAAGGGTCTGTTCGATAGTAATTATGAAAATTGTTTTATTATAGTTAGAGAAAAAAATGGGTCTTATATGTCAGTGAAGAAATAAAAAATAACTGTCAAAAAATTAATTTTTCGGATGAAAAATTGCTATCTGATAAGTGTATTTTATACCCTTGTTCGGAGCTTCAAAATAGCAATATTTCATAATTCTTTTGACAAATTATATTCTCAATTGTCATATTTTATGTTTTATACGTAAACTCTATAAATGAAAAGAAATTGAAGGAAAGAAGCAAACAATGATGAAAAATGGTAAAATCCAAAGTATGGGAATTAAATTAACTATTGAATGCAAAGTTTGGAGATCAAAGTTTACACTAGAAATTGAAGAACTCAATGACTAAATTGCATTATTTTGAAAAGATAAAGTCTAGGTAAAAATATTATTTTGCTTGGGCCATGGAATTGCGATCAGAGTGGATTTCCTTTTTGGTGGACTAGGTTAATATGCATATATATACTTACTCATGCTGGAGAAAAGGAGATTATCGTATACATATACACATTAGACGGCAGAAATGAGAGTTTGGCTGGAGTAAAAAGGGAGGCTGCTGATTGCTGAAATATATATGTGATATACAAAAAGAGACGGGCAGCTGGGAGTCGAAAAATACAGGCAGAAAAGTTAGCCGACTGAAATTGAATTCTGGGAATTAACAGTAACAGAAATTTGGGCAGCTGCTTGGGGCTGAATTGATACATTCTATCAATAAAAAACGGAGAGAAAAAGAGGAGAAAACGAACTGCCTGCTGGAAATAGATAAAAATAGGAAACGACAGCTGTTGTTGTGCATTAGAATCCATGTAGGAGTAAAAATTGGGCTGAAAAGATTGTATACATACATGCACAAGCAAGTTGGCAGTCGAAAATTGTAAATAAGGAAAAGACGCACACGCTGAGAAAGCAGACACTGGATGGGGTACGCATAGGAAAATTTATTATGTTTCCTCAATTTTTTGTGATGTTTTTTATCCTTTATTTGTTTAATTTTAACATTATATTAGGCTAATTTTTCATATTTGCTAGGATGTGATGAACCTTTATTATGAATTTTTAATTTGAACAATTTAATAAACGTTAATTTGTTTAATTATTTGGATGTTTATTATCATTTTCATGCTTTTCAATTAATTGGCCACTAGTTGAATTGTTTGTGAATTTTGTTGTTATCGAGAGAGACAATAGGATCATTAGCACAAAATAATAAATATTGTGAGGTTCGATAGAAAACAGAGATATACCTCTATGCTTCATATGATTTTTATAAGATATTCTAGTTCGTTTAATGCATTTATAATGTTCGCATCTTTCATCGAGGGATAAGAATGTCGCATGAAGGGAATATATTTGATAATTATTGTGAGAGGTTTTCAATTAAAATAGGAACATTGATCAACAAGCATGATTTCAAATTGTCAATTTAAATTGTTGAACTAAAAATGGATTAGCAAGGGGGATTCCACATCTTAGCATTACTTCTCGCGAATTTGATAAATTTTTACTTTACTTTCAATTTAGTCGCCAGATTTAATATTGTTCAGTCACAACTTGATTTTGTTATTTGACTAAGGGTATTATTAATTTTAACTGTATCAAATACATAGTTTTCATGGGTTCGACACTCTATACATTGCTATATTACTTGTTTACGATCCAGTTCACTTGCGGGTAATCAAACGATCAAGTTTTTTGTGCCGTTGCCGGGGACTATAGTTTTGATAAGTTTTAACTAATTTACCTTTAATCTGAATTTTATTTTACTTTTTTTATTATTTATTTTTTAAGTTTAGTTCACTAATTTAGAAAAATACTACAGTGTTTTCTATTTTTCCTTTTTAGGACTTTGTATGCAAAGTTCAAGAACCAGAGATCTTGTTCAATTTAATCCGAAAATCAAGCAAACGTTCAAGTCAAGGAGAAGAGAACAATTATAAGCACACCAAAAACGACAAGTAGAGCTCATGGCAGAACAAAATCTGAATCAAATAGCCATCGAGGCTAATCTGCGTGTAGCGCAACCAAATGAAGTTGCAGCTAATGAACACGTTATGTTGATGGGAGAGTATATGGTTCCACCAAATGAAGTTGCAGCCAATGAACACGTGGAGAGCCAATCCAGTATAGTATATTCGGGATTTGGTCAACCAAATTCTCACTTGAGGAAAGAAGTGATCAACATATTCCAAAATGCACTACAATTTTTCGGGAAACCTACTGAAAATCCAAATGCTCATATCTCAAGATTCTTGGACATGCGTGCAACAATCGATTATCCAGGTGTTTCAAGCGAAGCAATTTGGCTGAGGCTTTTTCTTTACATTTTGAGAGATTCGGCTAGGGAATGGTTGGATACTTTTCCTCCACACGTCATCACCAATTGGAATAGTCTGAGTCAGAAGTTCTTGAACAAATATTTTCCACCTAAAAGGATTGCCAGGTTGAGGGACGAAGTCACCACATTCTCTCATCTTGACTCGGAATACTATTATGAAGCTTGGAAAAGGTACAAGGGGCTGCTCCGTCAGTGTCCACAGCATGGATTGCAAAAATCGCTCCAAGTACAATGTTTCTATATGGGGCTAAATCCTGACGAGCAGGGCTAATGTTGACCCGCATGCGATGGTTCCATCAAAAAGAGAATAGCGAATCAAGTTTATCAAATCATGGAGGATTTAGCATTTACTAGTGCACTGTGGCCTATGAAAAGAACGATTGTAAAGAAGGTAGATGGGATACATGAGATAGATCCAGCAATCTCAGCACAGTTGATAGCTTTAGCTAAAAAGGTGGATAAGATGAATGCCATTCAAACAGTCGGACAAAAATGCAAGCACTGTGGAGGAAATCATGAAAGTGTTGATTGCACCGTCGGTAGTCCTTTTGCACAATCACTAAAGGATGTAAATTATGCTCAAAATTTTCAAAGACAGCAACACAATCAGAATCCTAACACCTACTACCTAGGCTAGAGAAATCACCCAAATTTTCAATGAAGCAACAATCAAGGAGCTCAGATTGTGCCGTAGTAAACTACACCACCAGGTTTTCAGCAGGCTGAAAATAAGTCTTCATTGGAAGATCTTGTTACTAAATTGGCAGAGTTCTCTACTCAACATATGCAAAGAATAGATAAGACTTTACAAGTTTAGGGAGTTGCTATCAAGAATTTAGAAAATCAGATGGGACAAATAGCAAAAGCACTCTCAGAAAGACAGCAAGGAGAATTGGCAAGCGACACTGAGATAAATCCTAAGCAGCAAGTAATGGCAGTAAAAGTTGTAGAGAATGAGGAGGTTGGGACAATCACTATATGCAGCAGGGTTTAACTTCTAGAAATTACAGTTGAGAGACGGTTGACTGAATAAAAATGCACCTTTTATAGCTGAGGAGTAGGTGGATAAATCTGAACAACTAGACAAAGTAGTTCCATCTCAAGAGCTAGAAAATCTACAAGTCAAGGCAACCGTTCCTATCAAACCTTATGTGCCTCTGGTCACATTTCCACAGAGATTACAAAATAGGAAGTTGGAAGATCAATTTGCAAGGTTCTTAGACATCTTCAAGAAGCTTCATGTTAACATCCCACTGATTGAAGCTATATCTCAAATACCGAACGATGCAAAGTTTTTGAAGGAGATCCTATCCAAAAAGAGAAGGCTTATAGATTTTGAGACCATCAAGTTAAATACGAACTACACATCTTGCAGAATAAATTACCTCCTCAGCTACAAGATCTAAGGAGTCTCAAAATACCTTACTTAATAGGGAATGATTCGAATTTTAATTGTTTATGTGACTCAGGAGCAAGTATAAACCTAACGCATTTTTCAGGAAATTAGGATTGGAAGAGCTAAAGAACATATCCATCTCCCTTTAATTGGTAGACAGATCAATCAAATACCCGTGAGGAATGGTTGAGATCTTGCTCATTAAAGTGGGCAAATTCATAGTCCCCATTGATTTTGTTGTCCTAGATATAGAAGAGCCATGGGATACAGTGTTACTTATCTTGAGCAGATCCTTCCTATCAACAAGCTGCGCTGTCATGAACTTTGAAAGTGGTGAACTGACATTTACAGTGGAAGATAAGTAAGAGAAGTTCAATAT